CGTTCGCATTTCATTGGATGGGGTGATTGTAATTTATATTTTCTTAGCTTTCTGTTCAAGATTGGCAGATTTTCAATGTCACTGCAATTTGCGCTCCCTCAGTTCTTACACCTCTCGCAGTGAATAAGTCTACTTAGAGCCATTTAAGTTATTACACTAATATTACTCTACTTTGAGTTTGAGCAATAGTTTTCGTCTTCACGTTTATTATATGAATCACGACACCCAGACTGGTTATTGACAGTCAATGTTCCAGTTCTAGGTCTTTTCTCAGGCTCACAACCGGATTCAATTTTTATTAGGGCCTATAGTTTATGTAGGCTAATATGATGAAGGGAAAATATAAATAAGTATGGGGTAGCATGCGCATTTTAAAGTTTCTTGGCTTGCACTCAAAAGAAAGTGCTCTTACTTCCATCGATCAAGCAAGTTAAAACCATTGCCCTAGTAAACCATGCCATATTGACTCCACATCAGGAAAGCACTAGGACAGAGAGACCATTGGAGGTACACAAGAGTGGCCAAGATGTCCTTACTCCACTCCAAATATGTTTGTATCTGATCCGATGAATTTACGTTGTATGTATTTGGTAGACGAAAAAATGCAGATGCTTTTATTCCTGTCATTTCTTAAGGAGTCTTTGAAATCGGTGAATGGTTTGGGTGCCCTCCCAACCCCCTTCAAACCGTGCAGGAGTATCTCGTCTTTATATTGGATATATTTTATCCCTCTGAGCCCAAGTTGGCCCTGACAGGCAGCATTGGAAGCTCACCTGCGCAAAAAAAAAGTATTTTTTAGTTATATTAGCCACTTCGAAATAATAATGTGTGTACAGTATCTCACTCTTTGCCATTGATTTATTTTTTTTCTTTCTCCATTTCCAGGCTGGGATGAGGGATTTACCCAGGTAAGTTGTTCTTTACTGCTGTTCTTGTATTTTTTTCTGACATTTTAAATTGAGAACGGTTGTCTGATTTTTTAAATTATAAAGAAAGCAAGAAACATTTTGGATAGATATTATTTGATACAATTCTGTTGTTAAAAAAACTTTTGGTTGGTGTAAGGAAAATATTAATCGTTGGTGGTGTAAATGACGAAATAGTTATTAAGTCTTTTCCCTGAAGGAAGTAAAGTTCCAGGTTCTGAATACTACTTTAATCACTTAATGGAAATGAAGGCATTTGTTTCTGTTTTCGCTTTGCTGTAATGTTAAAATAAAACTGAATTATGTAATACAGTCAACTACAGATGCGTTGATGTCATGGGAGTGAATATAAGATTAACTCATCTGAAGTTCAGCTTAACTGTTAAGACCTGTAAAGAAGAAGAGGTAGATCAACTTAACCAAAGATCAACACAAATGGAGTTGACTGTCATGTGCGTGTGATGGAGACAAGTATGTTCCATGATAAGACTGAAAAATTCTTTTTTTCTGTTTTCAGAGTTACTCTTTTTGCTGTTGATATGATATTCTCTTCTTTAGTTTTGTTTGAAATGATTGTTACATTTTCTTCACTTTGCAGCTGAGCAAGGGGCAGAGGGCAAAGCTTACAATCACCCCAGACTATGGCTACGGGGCAAGTGGAGCTGCTGGAGTATATCCTTTTTTCATGACTTTGTTTCCAAATACCTGATGATAGTTGTAAGGATGGAATACATTTATTTAGCCCATTGTGGTAGCAGAAGGGAAGAGGTACTTACCTAACACTTTGGGGTCACTTGGCGCAATAATGCGTTCTAGTCACCTGGCGCAGTTTGCACCAGGCCCGAGAAGTCTGTTGCAGTTACTCTCCTGGCTGGGTGACCAGATTGCGTATTTTTTACTGCTGGTTGTGACTGCAAAGTGTTAAAAGATGTGAAGCCTCTGTGGCTGTCTTGCTAATGCTTTCTTATTTCTCCCTTCTCCCTCTGGCCACTATTCAGTCTGGCATCTCTCTTTCCATGATTTACTCTCTTTTTCATTTACCCTCTTTGTAGTACCATCCGTGTTCAAACATACAAAGTCTTATTCTTATGCATGTGCACAAAGATAATGGGAACCTAAGGCTGCTAGTATTTATAAATTGTTAACAAAAAAAAGATTATGGGGTGAAGTGATAAGAAAAGTGTCTGGAATGTGGGAGGGATTTTTAATTTCCTACCGAAGAATGTGTATTGTGCGAGGTTCACTGTCGATTTAGACAAAGTTGTCACGGAAATAGGGAAGGGAAATCTAGCTTGCCAAAATTTTTTGAGGTTGTGAATGATTTATCATTAGTCTCCATTGCGTGCTAACCTTGGGAATTGTTATTGGTGTTTACTCCACTTTGAATCTCTCTCTGAAAGTATAAGTTAACTACAGTAGGATCCGCTTATATCCATATTTGCTTTGGGAAGTAGATTTGATGTAGACATGTATCTATAAAAATGTCGATAAATGGAAATAGAAAGCCAAAGAGGAAAAAACAAAGGGGGGTCAGTGGTAAAAGACAACACTACTCTTTAAAGCTGGTTGCTTCCCTTGATTCTGGAAACTAACGGGGGAGGGGGTGGAGTTATGATACACCAGCGTAAACTTTGTTATAGCATCCTTGTGTAAGGCCTGTTTATGGCTGCTTGCTGGGGAAAATGGAAAGGCGAGGCACTGACTCACTGACCATGGCACTTGCCAGCGACAGACTGAGAATGGGATGGGGAAGGGGAGTGAGCGATCAGGAGTAGGGGTAGGGAGCTGATGCCCAACGCACGAGACGCTCACGTCTGTGAAGCATTTTACTGTGTTGGAGACTACGCTGTGTAGGCCCTACATGACCTACTAAAGCCTGGTGTGTCGATATTATGCGGACTTAATGAAGAACTAATGCGTTGACTGTTAGCTTGGCTTTTTCCCCTGTTTTTGTTCATGGGCTTTGCCAGGTACCCAGGAAACATGTCGATAAAGCAGAACGAGCCGAAAAAAAGGTCGATGTGTAAGAGAAATTGTTCAGTGAAGATATTGAAGGAAAAATTTCGTAATTGGAAAATATGTCGATGTGCCAAAATGTTGATAAAATATAGGATGTTGATATATAAGTGGATTATACTGTACTTGGTGTTGGAGACTTTAGCAGTCGGTTGCTGTGGTGGTTTCAGGTGATTCAACTTTTGACTAACCATGGTTAGTGGTGGGAGCTCTAATGCGGTTTGCTCTTTCTTTCCTATCAAATAAAATGTATCATTCTTCTTTCTCCTTTTTTGTGTTTGTCACTCTCTTGTAACACTTCTCATCTTTGGCACTTATTTGCCCTATATAGAATTGTGTTGTAAGTTCCATACAATGCTTACTAAAAAAAAATGTTTGAATCTAATGAATTAAAACAAATTCGTCTTGGAATGTTTCCTCTCATTCTTGAGTTTGCGGTGATAGTGTTCTGCTTTTGTGACTAGGAGGAAAAAGGAAGACGCCTGCTACAAAAAAACAGGCGATTAAAGTTTAAAATGATTGGCCTTATCACTGATCTTGAAAAGATGTTAACGTTAACACAAAGAAGCGTCCCCTTGGTTTTGTTGTCCTTAACTGTTGCCACTATTCCCCCCAACGCCACGCTCATCTTTGATGTAGAACTCCTTGACATCATCAGGAAGTAGATGCGACGCCGGACTGACGGATGCATTTCAGCAAGATCATCATCATTCTTAGAATTTTATCATTGAAACCAATCATCATCTGACATTGTACCCGAGGTCGTCTCACCGGTTTTGTTTTTTTTTAATTGGTTTGGATTCATTTGACCACTTTGTTCTAAGTTACCACCGTTTTAATATCGGCTATGCTGAACGTAAGGTGGATTCTTTTTTTTTTTTTTTTTTTTTACTTCAGGACAAATGTCTTCGTTGTGTTTGTCTTTATCATTGTGCATTGGTGTTTTAAATCAAAGCCACATACTTGACTACGGTCATTTACAAAATTACCTTTGAGGGAAGTTGATGAAGAAAATAGTTTTTCTTAGCCGTATCATTTGAATTATAAATGGTACACAGATTTACCAACATATGGGTTTTGGCAGTCATGGCTTGTGGTAGGGAAATAGATGTAAAATATATTGTCACTGAATTTTTGTTACAGTTTTAGAAGACGTTTTGTTATACTTTCAATTCTTTTTCAGGTTTTCTGTACTGGTCAATATTTTTATACTTTCTGACACCTTCACTGCCATATATGAGGAAAGACCTTAATGAATTTATTCAGTTTCTTTCAAAATTAAACTTTATTGAAAAAATATTTGATTTGTGCTTGTTTTCTTTATTTTTGACACTTCCTTCAAGTTCTTCTGTACCACCAGCCTTATTGTGTGGTGGTTTTGAAAATATTTTCAACTTATTTCAAGGGGGCTCTCGTGGTCTAGATGTTACAGTGTTCGCCTGTTATTCTATAGGTCCAGGGTTTGAAAGCTGATGGCAACGGAAAATTTTGTTCTCTAAAATTTTCTCCTGTCACCCCTTTTCCTGCTCTAACCATATCCTGTCATCTGCTATCGTCTTCACTTTCTGCCCACACCCCCGCCCCCATTTGCCCCCTCCTCTGGGCTCCTGACTCTTTTTAAATATTTTTACTGCTCCTGCTTGGCTCTCTTCTTAGTGCTGTCTTTCAGCCACACCCCTGATCGTAAGGGTAGGTATGAAGATCTAACACCTGGCCTTCTCGATTGGATGATAAGGGCGAAAAATCTCAGAGGTATCGTGTGCAAGTTGCGCACGTTAAAGATCCCTTGGCGGGTGCTCTGGTGTGGTTTGCTCCTTCTTTCCTATCAAACATCTATCATCCTTCTCCCCTTCTTCTTTTTCATGTTTGTTACTCTCTTGTAACACCCCTAATCTTCTGGCGCTCATATGACCTTATGCAGTTACGAGCGCCGTAAAACCTCTACTAAAACTAAAAACTAAAAGATCCCTTGGTTGTCCAAAATCAATAAGAGTAGGCTTCGGCCACCACCCGGGCAAAAATTAAAAATTAATTCCTACCAAATTGAAAATGTTTAATGTGTCTTGTGTGCTCATCATATGACCTTATGCAGTTGTTAGCGCTGTAAAACACTTGCCAAAACAAACAAGATATTATTTCCAATTCACAAGGTTGATTTCTCAGAACTATTTGAATTTGAACCCTGCTTTCTTTTTGATATTTTTCAGCACTTCTTTTCACCATTTTGTTTTTTTGCTGTCGCGTGAACAGCAGTAGAATGATTTGATTCAAATGATTGAAATGAAAGCCTTTTTGTAAGGTGTTCATGTTTAATATGGACCTACTTGTAAAAATGGACAACACCAGTAAAGGTTTCCGTCCATCTCTTTTCTGTATAATTAATTACAATATTCCCTTAAAATGTGGGTTGGAGATTGTCACTGGTGCCACTGGTGGTAGGTTTTATTTTAGTTGCACATTTGTGGGTGGTTGGGTGAGGGAGGTGTTGTTGCTGAAAAGGTTTATTTATTTTCTTCCCCTCTGCGGTTTCTGTTCTGTCTTACTTTTTCCCGCACAATAAACCTGTTTTTGTGGGTGGTTGGCGGGTGCTCTGGTGTGGTTTGCTCCTTCTTTCCCATCAAACATCTATCGTCCTAATCTCTCCTCCTTCTTTTTTGTGTTTGTTACTCTCTTGTAACACCTCTAATCTTCGGCACTTATATGACCTTATTGTGTTGCAAGTGCCGTAAAACACTTACTAAAACTAAACCTGTTTTTGTGAGGATGTACTTTTCTTTACATGCAAGTTATTAGAATAATAAAAATAGCCTCACTATAGCACATGTCCCTGCTCGACGGCAAGATCTGTGTGCTTTATACTATATTTATTACCCCAGCAGACACAAGACTAGGTTAAAACACATTCTTGGCTTACCGGGAAGTACACGGTGCAAGCAGCTGATTAAGTGCTACAGACACAAACAAACTGACAAGATCTTTCGCTGTCAGCCACAGGTACCCTTTCCCGCCTGGTTGAAGTTGAGGTGAGAAAAATTTGTGTAAAGTGCAGTGCTGTCATTGTCATAAATAAAAAGTATAGTAACTTAAGTAGTGCAGTTTTTGCAGTAGAAGAGCCAAAAAACTGAATGTTGTTACTAAGAAAACAGCATACATGTACGTTGATAACAAGGAAGTTATCCAAATTGTATTCTTAAAAGTGTACTTGTCAATGTATTGACTTGAGATGTCTGCCAAGAGTTTGTTTTCTTGTACATGTAACAGCATTCAGTTATTTGGCTCTCCTGTAAAAATAAAATTGAAAAAGCTATTTATTTTATACGTATGTTGGCCTACCCCGGTACAGTGGAGTCCACTTATAACGAGTCCTGAAACAACGAGAAGTCTGTTATAAAGACACTGTTCTAAAACCCTGTTTTTTTTCCCTTCTTTATCTTTGTAAATAAAATACTGCTATAGCGCTATCGGACAACCAGGGGAGTCGGTTATAACGGAATATTGCTGTTGCTGTGCACAGCGCACAAGCCAGTTAACATATAAACCTCGCCAGGTGAGAAACTTGTAGGTGATCTAGCGAAACCTAAGATCTCACATCAACTCCTTGAGCGAAATAAAGAATAGGAGAGCCCACTTTTGCCAACAATGAAAATCGGAGCGAATGAGTGGGGAGGGTGCGGTAAGC